GCCCTGCCTGGAACCATCTGCTGTCTGAGCTCAAGAATGTCTCGGAAAGTGTTGTGAGGAGCAGCGTGGGTTTGACTGCATCCAGGGCTTGCTTGATGCTTCCAGAGGACTAGCCCGGTGTACTTCGTTCAGTGCATCCCTTGTAAAGCAGAGGTCAAGCTAATGAGTTTTTAAGTCTCTGGTCTGCCCGCTTTCAAGGGAAGATTCCCCGGTAAAGCTTGCTGATTGCATGCAGGGCAAGCTTTGTCTCTCCTCCTCCATCATCCTGAGAGCCAGTGTGGTGTCGTGGTTAAGGGTGCAGATCAGAGACTCTGGCGATGTCGCTTCTAATCCTTGCTCAGCTCTCTGGGAAACGGGCCAGTCGCAGACTCTCACCCTAACCTACCTCACTGGGTGGTTGTTGTGGGGATAAGATGGAGGAGAATGATGTAAGCCGCTTCGAGTTCTTTAAAAGAAGACAATCCAATGAATGAATGACTGCATTGATGATCGACCCTGCAAAAAGGGACAGCCAGTCGTTTATTTCTCGTTTTGATTGCTTCAGCATCGTCTTGTCAGAGTGTTCCTGTACTGTTTGCTCTCCACTGTCAAGTCCTTCCCTGTGTTTTCACGGCTCCCTCGTTTCCACAGGATTAAGTTTCACAGACTTGCTTTCATGCTGCAGCTTAGCTGGGAAAAGCCATGCCCAGTCAGCGGGACCGAGGGCCGAGTGACCTGCTTGCTCCCGGTCTTCGCTGTCCCACCTCTTCGGTTTTTGCTTCCTCTCCTGGTCTCGTCCTTCTTCCCACACGTGCCACTTTGCACACTCCACAGCTGCTTGCAGGGAAAGTCCGTAGTATGGCTGGCATCTTCTCTCTCTTTGCTTAGGAAATGGAAGCCATCTTCCAGTATTCTTGTATCTGACCAGTATTTGGTACATCATTCCTTTCCTGCCAGTCCTCTCCTTCTGTGTTTTCCTGATTGGAGCAGAAGCTCACAGGCAAGCCATGCACTCTACCGTGCTGCAAGAGAGAAGATTGTGAGCCCAAAGTACTCCCTGCGGTTGAGGGGTGCCTTCCACAGCTCCGCCCCAGTCTGTGCCTTGGCACCATCTCCTGGGGACGAGGAAATTTTGCACTCTTGGCTTCGGGAGCCTAGAAAGCTGCCTTGCACCAGGCGAGGTCATTCCTCCATCCGTGCCAGCGCTGCCTGATTTACCTGGCCACTGCTTTCCAGGGGCTCCATGTTTAGAGGAATGTCTTCCTCACCACCTGCAACTCAGTCCCTGTCGCTGGAGATGCCAGTGAGCAAAAACGGCCTGCAAGTCCGGTGATTTGCCACGGTTGGCCACGGGGCTGGAGGCGGTGTTCTTTACACCCCCTGTTCCTCTGGGCATGGAGATTGTGCTCAGTCTTGGATGCGTCTGAGCAATGCAAGCTCATACTGCCCGTGATTTGCCCCGGGTGGCTCTGAGAGGGGGAAGAGGAGCAGGAGCGGGTGGCGGGGGCGTCAGACTAGGTGGGCCTTTTGCAGGGAGCGGCCGTTGCTTTGATCGACTGGTTCCCGGGGAGGTGAGCCATCAGAACTTGCTGCCCAAATACAGGCATCGCCCTCTCTCTCTCCGGAACAAAAATCTGCCCCGTCTTTTATTCCTCACTCACTGCCTGCCTGCAGAGTGAAATGAAGCCCCTTGTACAGGATTCTTCAGGGCCTCAGCAAAAAGAACTTGTTTCACTCTGCAAATCTTCCTCATTCAGCCAGTTCCGTTATCTGGCATGAAATGTTTTAAATATTCTGATTGAGCCATCCGTTTGAACAGAAACAAAAATTGTAATCTCACCTCTGCCCTGAAACGGCATCAAGCAAGATGATTTTGCAATCCAGCTTTTGTTGTTTTGTGGTACTTGTAACGTACCACAGTTGTGTTAGTGATAAAGCTGCACATGTGTTGTTACTGTGAAGAGTTACTGGCGTTGCTGATTGGGAAGCTAACTGCAGGCGGAATCTTCCACTTCAAGGATGCCCTGTTTTATCTGTCTGGATTTGCTCGCATCTGCTCCCTTCACCTCCCCGCTCCCTTCCCTCTCTCCACTGATCTATTCCACCTTCGTTCCAGTGGTGCCAGGGAGGGTGGATGCCTTCCCCACATGATTTATTCTTGCAGCAAGCTGTAGGGTACGCTAAGGTCGTGACGGCCAAGCAGGGAATTTTGTGGCTGAATCGGGAACTCGTTTGCCCCACTCAGAAGCCCAGCACTTTGCCTCGCTGAATTTGGGACAGCTTGAAAGGAATAAGAGAAAAAAGGATGCTGCAGAGTGCCAGAAGCAAGCGGAATTGGGCTGTGGGACGCTCTGCAGGATATATAAGGTCTTCCCATCGAATGCCAGGTGACCAAAATGCTCCCAGACGGCTCCGAATAGGCCACAGTTTTGAAATTGTGTTGTTCAAGGAAGGTTTATGTCGCAAGTTCATTCCACCGCAGCTTGGGCTTAGCGGCAGCACCGTGCACAGTGGCCCTTTGGTGGTACGGCTGGGTGGGAAGGGGCGGTGTGGCGGAAAGTGGGGTGTCAGCCTCTGGCCGAGGAGCCTGGGCGTGAGGATTAATTATCCCTGAGCGTTAAAAGTGCATCCCGTCTTTAGTCTGAACGTGGCAGCTCCAGATCGTTTTATGTTGTGTCCCCCAAGTCAGAGGCCCGCCCAGCCTTGCCTTTCGCACCATTTCCGTTGCCCTGCCAGATCCTCCAACGTGGCGGCTGACCCCTCGCAGGCCTTCGGGTGGTGTTGGACTGACTCCAGTCAGCCCTAGGAAGGGATGTGTGAGGAACCTTGTTTGTTTGTTTGTTTGTTTGTTTGTTTAGGAGGCTTCTATGCCGCCCTATTCGCTGAAGCCTCGGGGCGGCTCACGCTGGCGTTGGGAATCCATTGGATTCCCTAAGCTTGGCTCCCCAGACGGCGATCCACTTTGTCCCAGCCCTGAGGCCGAGCCCTGGCAAGCGCAGCCGTGCGGAGGCCGCCCCTGCCGGGGATGGGACCTCCTGCTAAGTGCACGCCACATCCTCTTCCTCGCCACATGGGTAGTCTGTGCAGTGGGCTCGATGAAGGAGGAGGTTGCTGGTTGCGCGGCCCTTGCCCCGTGACTGCTCATGGGGTTCCTTTTGGCTCAGCCCTTCTTCTGAGACTGGGCCAGTAATGAGGGGAGGCCTGTGCATGCTGGAGTGGCAGATGCCAGTGAATTCGATCCCCACCCTAGTGTTAACCTGGGTGCTGCCATCCAGCAACATCTGGAACAACCTCCCCCACCTCCAGATGTGGACTTCTGCACCCATTAGCCTGTCAACACAGCCAGCAGCAAATATCCTGGGCACAGCAGCCCGAAACGTGGAGGACTCTTGGCTGGGGAAGGTTGATCTGCAGGAGCACAAGCGGCGAATCAGAAAGAAAACAATCCATTCTGGCGTCTGAGAGCCGGTTGCTGGGACCCGCCTGGGCATGAAACGGAAGGTGGTCCTATGCCACAGCACGGCAGGGAAAGCAAGCAGGGACCTGTGCCATCCCAGCGGCTTCCGCTCCCTGCCGTAGGCCAAGGTGAACGCGTCGCACCGTGCAGAATCCGTGCCTTGCCTGGTGCAGGACGACAAGGGCCAGCAGCCCACATGCTCTTCCCCTGCTCGGTGTCGCTTGCAGCCCGTGGCTGGTGCCCACTTCCTTTGCTGTGCTCACTACCCGCTCTGTGCTGCCCCAGATCCTTGCCAGGCTTAATTGGTCCCCCCTCCCCCGGAGGGTGCCATATCCAACTGTTTCACTCTTAGCGCCTCAGCAAAAGTGAAGAGGCTGGCATAAAAAACAAACCCTTTTACATGCAGCAGCTGCTTTTGCTCCTGTGAACTTTCCCCCAGAGCTTCAGTATTAAATGCAAGTTAAGATGCTTTTTATGACAGCTGAAGGCATCTAATTTGTGTCAAACATGGAGGCTTTAAGAAGGAAAGTTATTGACTCTTCCGTAAGCTAAAAAACCCCCAAGAAAATAGAGATGTTTTGCTTTAATATGTGGTGACGCAGTGTGAAATTTCAGTCAAAAAGACGGGACAGATGTTGGAGATCTGTAGCTGATATCTTTCAACTCTCGGTGTGTGCATGCGCGTCTATAGTCATAAATTCATTTGGCATTCTGAAAGCAGAGGTTCTTTCTCTGGCTTGCACTGGGCGTCTCCTCATGGTTGGCTACGTGTGAGAAGGAGTGACGGAAGCCCTGCCGCCTGCCACCCCATCCCGGGAGACTCTCTTAACCCCTGGCCCAGAATGCTGAAGAGTGCTGAGACCCCGTTCCTACGTGCCGTTGGATCCCCTTTCCCATCCGGGGCAGGCGACCCAGTCCGATCCTTGGCTATTCTGTTTGCAGCCAGCCCCAGAACCTTTGCAAAGTTCCAGTTATTTATCTGTGTTGAAGAAATACTTTTGCCAATGCAACCGGCTGAGCCAAAAGCTGACTGTGAGATTCGCCGGCGAAGGAAGAAGACTTGCAGCCCCGTCTTTCCCTTTCAGCAGGGAAGTCTGCAGCCGGTTCGCTGCGCGGGGCAGGGAAACTACTCCGGAGCGAGCGCCTTGGCTTGCTTGCCCGTCAGAGGCTCACTGAAGTGGTCCCAGCACGATATTTGCCTGGTCCTCACAATGGATGCTCCAGAGGAAGGCCGATTCCTGTTGGATAAGAACGGGGTTTCCCTGCGCCAGAACCTACAGAGGGGCCTCTCCTTGGGGACGCCACCTTGAATGGTGGTCCAAAGTAAATGCTGATTTCTGACACAGCTCTCTGGGGGGGACCCTTCTCAAGTCCCTCAGTGCATTTGAGCTTGGTCCCCTCTCCCTCCTTTATCTTGCCTTGATCTGGTGCCCCTGGCAGGATGGGCAAGCCAAAGAAGTGGCTCCATACAGCCAGCTTTGCGTTCCTTGCGGGATTCTGGCATGCAATTCCTGTCGTTCGTCACTGCTTTATTGGCCCTCACCCAAGCGTTGTTTCTCTCTAGGCCATGGCCGTACACCATATTCCAGCGAGGATTTGACTTGGTGCTGGGGGAACAGCCGTCAGACAAGATTTTCAGGTAAGGCGTAGTCTGGGGCTTTCCACTGTCAGATCCCTCCGTTGAGAGAATTTACCGTATGCTCCCTACTCTCTGCTTTTTTGCTCTTTAACCATCTACTGATCCATTAAAAAGACCCCTCCTCTCATTCTTTGATGAGGGACTTCTCCAAAACCTTTTGGAAGTTCAAGTGAAATACCTGCTGGATCACGCCATCCACATTTTTACTCATACTCTCAAAGAAATCTAAAAAGTTGGCCAGACAGGACTTCCCCTTGTGGGACCCCTGTGGATCGTTTTTCGGCAGTTCTCCTTTCCATATGCTATTAATTTTATCTTTACTAAAGCTTTCAGCCATTTCCACCCACAGTAGATGTTATGCTAAGCAGCCTGTAATTTTCTGGATCCCGCCTGAATGTTTTTAAAAAATTAAAGTCACGTTGGCCAATTATCAGGCACAGAGGCTGACCTTAGGGGCATGTTTGTTAGATGATCCACATTTTCGTATCTGAGTTCTTTAAGAAATCTGTGGTGAATGCAATCTGGTCCCAGTAATTTATCATCTTTCCATTTGTCAGTAAGGTTGAGAACATAATCTTTTGTCACCACTATGTGCTTTGGTCCCGCAGATTCCCTTCTGGAAAGCATCAACTCAGACACTGAACAATTTTATTCCGTCTGAGAGATCCACACCTTCTCTTTCCTCCCTCAGCTTCCCATGTTTGCCTCCTACGAAGTGTCTCGAACCTCAGCCGTTTATCTTATGTCCAAGCACTCCAGTTTGTCTTTGTTTTGGCTTGCCTCCAAAGCTCCTGTTTTACCTAGTGGAGCATCAACTTCCATAGCTGCTAATTATGCATAACTGGACATATGGGATATAAATTTTTGGCTTTTATCGCTCCAGACCATCTTTTCTGTGCTTTATAATCAGCAAAACAAATCGCATCTGGACAGGGGCAAGGTTGAGATCTTCCTGAGGGCGGTACAATACAGCTCCTCAACGGCTCGGGAGGCAGTGCAGTGACACACAAACGCCCGGGTCAGCTTTCCTCGGCCCCCTCGAAACTGAAAAACTCAACCATTTGCACAAACGAACCACATGATGATCATACAATGGAGAGCTTGCGGAGGGCAAGAGTTAATTTATTCATTCCATTTCTATACTGCCCAATAATCAAAGGGGCTTTTTCCAATTCAAAATTCATAAAAACACAAACCACAAAAGGAATATAGAACAGCATGAAATGTTTGCAGGACACAACATTTAAGAATATTTTAACTGCTAAAACATTTTTTGTATAAGCCAGACCTTTTAAAAACAGCTGACATGAATGCCCCAGGATGGTGTTAAATACTCTCAAAAGCCTGGAGAAAGAGGGCAGTTTTGCCTTGAGCCAAACTGAAGACCAAGTTGGTCCAGGTTGGCTTCAGTGGTGGGGGGAATGCTCCATAATCGGGGCCACCACTGGGAAGGCCTTGTTGCTTGTTGCCACGCTCAGACCCTCCCTGAGAGGAAGGCCCCCCACCTGGATTGTAGCGCCGGGGCAGGTTCAGTGCTAATGGAGCTGAACGCACCCCAGACACACCGCTGACTGTCCCTCCCCTGCTTCCACTCTGGCTCCAGATTCACGTACACGCTGGGGGAAGGGATGTGGCTACCCCTGAGCAAGAGCTTTGTGATCCCGCCGGCCGAACTGGCCATCAATCCATCCGCCAAGTGCAAAACGGACATGACTGTCATGGAGGATGCGGTCGAGGTCAGGTGGGTGCCCTCCATGGGCGGGACCCCGGGCGTCTGGGCGTGGGCGGCTGCAGAGACAGGGGCGGCCCAGGCTGCAGGGGGCGGCCGCACCTTGTTCCGTTCTCATGCGTGAGGCTCCTTCCCGGAACGCCTGAAGATGTCTCCTCTCACTCCCCTTCCTTCAGGCCCTTCTTAAATTTAAGTGCAGCGCAGCTGTTCGCTTCGTGCCTCACTCTCCGCTTCCTTCAGAAACGAGCAGCGCATCTCTTTTAGCCAAGTTCCGCCTCCAAAGGAGACATGCTAAGAAATAAGGGCCCTTGCGGTGGAAATTGCAGTGAGAAGTGTGTAAACTTTGGGTGGCCCTCTATAAAGCTCCTTTGAATACGGATATCTGCAAACTGGATACTGATAACAACCTTGGTGTTTTTCTCTTTATAGAGAGGAATTGATGACCTCCTCCTCCTTCGACAGCCTGGAGGTTCTGCTGGATTCGTTTGGGCCAGTCCGGGACTGCTCCAAAGACAACGGCGGCTGCAGCAAGAACTTTCGCTGCATTGCTGACCGGAAGTTGGACTCGACCGGTTGCATGGTCCGTTTACCCTTTATTCAGACTTGCACAGCGGGCTTTTGCAGAGGCGGGAGGGTGGCGATAAGCTTGCATCTACACAGGCAGTGTGCTGCAGTTCCTACATATTAATTCTGTGCAGTGCAGTCCCGCGGGTTAGGTGGCATCCATGCCCAGCCTGTGCTGATCTCCCGCCTTGCACTGGGCAAGCCAGGACTCTCCGGTTTAGCCCAAGTGACTTGGTCCGCAAAGCAAATCATGCGCAAAGTCGTCTGTTTCCAAGGAGTGATTCCGCCTCTCCGTGCTGAAGCACTGAGTCAGAACAATGCAGAGCTCTCTGAGAATAAGCCTGTAGCCCCCTTCTCTAGCTTGTGGACACGAGCCAAGCTGCCTGGGAATGATGGGAGTTGCAGTCCAGCTCTGGAGAAGAGCAGGTTGGAGTTCAGCGAAGAATATCAAGCACAGTTCTTCTTGGAGGGAGAACAGCAGATGGGCCTCTGCCCATCCTCTTGTATTGTCTTTAACTATAAGCTCTGCAGCTCTTGGTTCTTCGGTACCCTGTGATAATTTCCACATTTTAGGATTACTTCACAGGTTATCCATGGCAAACTTGAGTTTTCTACACTTAGGGTTAAACTGCATATTACCGTTTTTTAAAAATGTTATTTACTTTAAAGTAAGCATGCAGGGCCCTGATCAAAGTTGTAATCACTAATATAATCCTTCCACTTCCCTCCCAAAATTTGGCTCCACAATGCAAGAAAAGGGGTAAGCCCTCCATGAGCTTACTTTTGCGGTCAAAGGTCCATGCAGTTACCCTTAATTAAAGAAAGCGATGAGGATCAGCAGCATGCTGTGCCATTCCTGTAACATGTTATTTGATCCTTAGAGCCAAGAAAAACAGGGAAGGGGGTCACTTGCTATGCAATTACGCTGATTTATGTATTTATTAATTACGTGTAGTTTAACGTTCTCTGTAGGTCTGGCAGGGAGCTGATGTTCTCCTTGGCTTCCTGAAGAGTGTGAGGCACCATTTTGCAAACATCTGTTTGCTGCATTCGCAGTTTACATTCTTAGGGAGTGACATAAAGCAACCTGTGCGCACATCTCTCTGTTTTTAAAGAGGCCTTTAAATGGATGGAGAGCTCTGGGAGGAGTGAAGGAACCACACACCTTGTCAGCCTCATCTGCTAAATTGCTGTTTAAGCACCAGCAAGAGGCAGAAATGACATTCCCCAAGGCATGGCTTCCCTTCTGGTCCATGGGCACCCCTGCAACTTTCATTTCCATTCCTCTCTTCCGATATTCCACAAGGCTCAGAGCGAGTCGCTGATTCTTTTGCTGCAGTGCAAGAATGAGCTGTACAATATCAAATGGGCGCAGCCAGGCCACTGCAACCCGAGCTGCCAGATGGACTGCCGAGCAGTCCTAAAGCTCCTTTCCAAAGAGTTCAGAATTCCTTGTGGCTCGGCCTCTTTTGGCATCCCTAAGATGGATGATGGGCTTTGGAGTGAAGAATGTGCTTGTCTCAGAAATGTGGGGCGAAGGTGGCCATGAAGTACTTGGGCCCTTTCCTCCCGCACAGAGACGTGCCTGAGGTGCTGAGACACCGAGCTGTGAGCCGGGAGGCACCCAGTTCCGGTCTCATCTCGGCAATCCTGAGCATACTTTCCTGTGAGTAAGCCCACTCAACCTAAGGGGACTTCTCCACAGAAAACAAATGTAGGATAATGCAATAAATCACATCTCTCCCAGCCCCCTACCTGCATTGTTGCTGACCTGCCTTGGCATCTTGGCGAAGGCACTGCCGAGGTATTATATGCCTTTAATTTGGAATGCTCTGCGGCCTGCATGAGGAAAGATGCACAGGTGAGAAAGACGCACCTGCTGAATTAGTCTCTCCTGGAGCTAAGGGATAATAACAGCAATTAATGTAGGCTGGTTCTGCACAGCCACACACCTTTCGTCATCCCTGCTCATTTAAAAGTTGCACCTGCCCACTGCCCACCTGCTGGGCAGTTCCCACAGAGCAGGGGCTGGACAGCTGCAACTCTGAGAAATAGCTCTGAAGTGGCTTGAATCGCATTGCGTTGTTCCTGGTATGTGGTAAGCAGCCTTGGAAAGATTCTGTCTTTGAAGCAGGCTATGAAGGAGCTGGGAAAAATAAAGTGAGGCCAGGTTTCGTAGGCCAGGAGCAGTGCACTGACCTGGAATTGGGGGGCTGCGGAGGGGGCAGTTCAGGCTCCGGCGTCTGCTTAAGCACGTATTGGGCCAAGGAACCTGAGTCCGCTGCACCTTGTGCTTGCCAGACGAACTCCCTCGCTCTTGTGAGAATGGAGAGCCTGGGTGTTTGCTCTGGGTCCCTCCCTTCTCTGCTGTGCAGCCACAAAAAATCCAGGCGTCCCCCGAGCTCTGCTGGGGGGACTTCCAGGTCAGAGTGTGTGTGTGTGTGTGTGTGTGGTGGATCAGGAAGAGGTCTATATCCGGACTGGAACGTGTATGCTCACGAGGGGCGAGGCCGAGAGGAAGCACTTAACGCCACTCCTCCCACTGCTTCTGCGACTGGCTCAGGAGCCGGTGGAGGGGAACTGCTTCATGACAGACACCCCCCTCCTGCCTCCCCACCACACTTCACTCACCCACAGCCCACCCCTGGCACCCTTGCACATGGGCTCCCATGAGAGGAAGGCAGAAAGCAGCCCGTCTCCCGCGGCTTCTGGCTTCTCGTGGCACTGAGGTTCCCCCAAGACACGGCTCTGTGATGAAGAGGCCTTGCGCCAAGACCAGAGGTGTGAGGAATGTGGTGGGAGGGGGGTCATTCGATGGCGCAGGGTCTGCACAGACACCGCGGAAATGGGTGCCTCGCATGGCCCGTGCGGGCTGGGACTGGTGGAAGCTGGAGTCTCTCGCCCCCCCCCCGTCCACCCCTCATCCCTTTGGGCGCCTGAGTCCACCTTGAAGTCAGGAACCGCACACCCACCTGAGCATAACTGAGCAGGCGGAAGAGATGGGCCTGGCCATCCCGCCGTGGAGTTCCAGCGTACCTCTGCCGTGCCCTAGCACTGTGTCTCAAGGAAGGCTCGGAGGGGAAGCTGGGAAGGAGACCACAAGCCCGTAAGCGGGCCAGAAAGATGTGGCACTGGGGTGTGAGAGGGGGGAAGGGAAGGCTGAGCAACAGAGTGCTGAGCAGGTGCAGTAGGAAAGATGGACAGACGGAGCGAGGGAGGGAGGGAGGGAGGCCCTTGCATCAAATGAGGAAAACGGGTGAACGGCGCAGATGCTACACCGATGAAAGAAAGGCAGGTTTGCCATGGGGGGGAACCAAGAAAGGGGTGACCCTGAGGGTATGAGGCCCAAGTGCGGATGGAGAAGGGGGGCGGAGGGGTGCCAGGAGAACCTGCAGAGAAGGCGTCCCAAGTGCCGTGCTGATTCCAGCTAGGGTGGGATGCGGGATGCTCCCTGCGTCTCTCGCCCGACTCGGTGCTGCGGACAGGCCCAGGGGGAGACGCAGGGAGGGCCGGCCGGTGGGCGGTGGCTGTCGGTGTGCGGTGCAGGCAAGACCCTGCGCACCCCCAGCCCTGCCTCACCCCACTGTGCTGCTGTGCTCTCTCCCCGCCAGTGTCCCCCCGGGCTCAGCCCCATGAAGGATGGCACGGGCTGCTATGACCGCCACGTCGGGGTGGACTGCTCGGACGGGCTCAACGGGGGCTGCGAGCAGCTCTGCCTGCAGCAGACAGCCCCTTTCCCTGAAGACCCTGCGCTGTACAATATCCTCATGTTCTGTGGGTGAGTCGCTGCTCTCGCCTCGCGTTTATTCCCCGCATCGTCCCTCTTAGGAGGCCGCCTCCCTTGCTGCATTTGGTCTTCACAGCGTTCCAAGGAAGTTTCTCTAGCATCCTTTCGGGCAGCCTTACCCAACCTGGCACCCCCTCTAGATGTGTCAGACTACAACTCCCATCATCCCCATGCAGGCTGGCTTGGGATGCTGGAGTTGCAGTCCGACACAGCTTTGGAAAATGATTACGACTGCATTGCATTTATTTCCCGGCTGTCTTCCTCTTACAAGGAACCGCAGGCCATTCACAAGGTTTCCCCATCTCTGTTTTATCCTTGCAACAACGACCCTGTGAGGTAGGTTAGGCTGAAGGCAGGGGCTGGCCCAAAGCTGCCCTGTGGGCTTTGTGGCTGAGCGGGGGCTCGAACCCATGTCTCCCGAGCTCCCATCCCGCACCCTAACCACTACGCCCTACTGGCTCGGCTTATGCAAAATGAAGCACTTTGGGTCTGGCTGCGCTCTGGATTTTTCTCCGTGGATTTTGCCATTAGTAGCTCCTCTCCCCACTTTCGTGACCCCTGCCTTGCTCCTAGGTAAGGGCACTGTCGGCCGCTACAGCTTTTGGCTCCACGCGTGCTCAGTGGATCTCACCCGCATCTCGTGCCCTGGGAGAGAGCGTGGGCTCATGTCCTGAAGGCATCAAGATCTTCCCGCAGTCTCTCCTATAAGCAGGGATGAGAAGGGTTCCTTCCCTCTGTTCGTTCCTCATTCCACGCTTCACTCTGCCTTTCATTTAACTGGGGGGATTTCTAAAATTAAATTAGCCTGCCCAAGACTATCTGTGGTTTTTTTCCCTGTGCGGACGGCTAGCATAACGTAGGCTGGTCTTCAACACGGTGCAGCTGAGGCCTGTTGGACTTCCTTTCCCATAGTCCCCATCAGTGTTGCCTGGAGATGCTGCAGTCCAAAACTTCTGGAAGGCCCCCGGTTGGAGAAGGCTGCCTTAGGGTAGGCTGAGGAACATCTGCTAGATCCAGGAGCTCCCCAGCAAGGCGGGAAGGGCTTGCTGAAGATCAAACAGCGGAAACCCCCAGGTCATGCCTGCAGTGCTCACCTCAGTGTGATAGCTAAGCATGATCCCGTATCTCTCCAACGGTGTGACGTAAGAAATCACACATGTGCACACACGCTGTATGTATGTGTTGCCAATTGCAGGGTCTTCATTCCACAATCATTTGTAGACTTCCTCTTGCTCCTTCCTTCCTCCTTCCTTCCTTCCTACCTTCCTTCCTTCCTTCCACTTTCTATGGCAAAGCCAAGCACAAGAGAAAGTCCATGCATGCTAGAGGGATGGACTCTGTGGCATCCCTTCCTGGGTCTGGGTACTCTTCTTCCAGGCGGCCAGTGCTACTCCTGAGCTGAGCATTTCTCCCTTTCCCCGTTTCTCAGCGAGGCGTAATCGTTCTCCTTGCATTCCTTCCCACGGCAGCTGCATCGAAGACTACAAGCTAGGGCTGGATGGGCGCTCCTGCCAGTTGGTTTCGGAGTCCTGCGCGGAAGGCGGAGACTGCGACGAGAGCCGAGAGCTGCCCATGAACCAGACTCTCTTTGGGGAGATGTTCTATGGTTACAACAACCAGACGCAGGAGGTGGCACCGGGGCAGGTGCTGAAGGGGATGTTCAGGTGAGGCAGAGCTGGAGCATGGCTTGCCGCTCTCTGGCTCCCCAGGCCTGCTCTCATGGCCTGTGGCCTGTGCAGCGCCATCCATGTGTGAGGTGCTAGGGGAAGAATCTGCCCCGAGGGTGTGGATTTTGTTGGGTGTGTGGACTGAGAGAAAACCATTTCTCCTGCGCTTTGCGGATCGTCAGGTGACTGACAGAATTGTTTGTTTGTTTCTGGGTGGATCATCCCCTTGTACTAATTTTCATGAGCACTCAATGCACAAGGGTGGAAATGTGCTAATACACATTTAGATAACATGAATTCATGCAAGTTTTCCTCGAAGTACAAGAGGGAGCGAAAGATGCACAAACCCTACCAAAATCCATATTTTGGGTCAGTGAGCTTTTTCATGTTTTTCTTGGGCAACATTTGCATACTGTTTCAGAAAATAAAAAGTCAGTCCACAAGTCTGTGTGACTTGGAAAAAGCTGGTCCTCTGTAGAATAGAAGCATGAACTTCTTTGCATTCATTCTGGATTTCTTTAGCATCTCTAGCCCTGGGGAGCATAAAATACCGGCTTCACAGCAGGAGGGTTCTTGGTAAGGCCAAGCCATGGTTTAGTGCTACATGCGGAAGCAAAAAGAATCCCAAGAAAGACTTGGGCTCACGGACTCGCCCTTCCCAATTACCTGACGGTGGGCTCATGAAAAGAATAAAACAAAGTTTTGTTTCACTTAAAGCAGTCTCCTGGCTTCTCGTTATGTGCAAACCGGGAACCGTGCTTTCAGATAGACTCTGTTCAGTTGCCACACGAACCTGCTTAAAACTTGGGCTGTTTTGTTTAACAAACCAGAGCTTATTTTAAACCACAATTCCTGGTTCACATGGAGTGCCAAGGCAGGAATCTGCTGAAGCAAACCGGGATCCTTCCTACTTCTGGCCAGGCTTAGGGAGGAGAGGGGAGAGGGCTCACATTCTGTGGAAATGGAACGAGAGCAAGAATGGGGCCATGTCAGTTCCTGGAATCGGTTACCAGAAGCTGATCAGAATTTCCCAGAATGATTGTCAGAATGAAGACAAGAATGGGAGCAGTTACAAGAAACCTCTAGAGAAAAACAGCCCCAGGGAGGAGCAATGGTTTTCAGAAACGGCCGGGATGCTTAATGCCATTGCCACCGCCCCACTTCCCTTAGCTGTTTTTACTCTTGTGGACTTCCAGATGTGACATAAAGCAGGGAGGGATTTGCGGCAGAAGAGTTGGATGCTGAGGCAAAATCACACACACACGCACACACACACACACAACCCCCTGTGCCAAGAGACTGCAGGCACTCTTGGCATCTTCTCACACGTGCCGTATCACGTGTGGTTTGGCTCCAAAGGCCTCGGAAAGAACGGGGGAGCCCTGTCCATTAGGGCTGTGGCAGGCAGGACAAAGAGCAGCTGGTTCTTGCTGGGGCAGAACAGATTCAGGCGGGGTCTCAAGCGGGGCATCTTGACGCTGCAGATTCTGAACATCTATTTAAAATATTTCACACCCTTCTCTTCAGTTGAACAGCTTTCAGGGTGAGCTGCGATGAATATTTTAAAACTAGTGCAAGAGTAATCAAAATATAATTAAAACAGTGAAGAACCAGTGCAAATCAGCAGGTTCAAACCAATTGAACGAGACTATTTTTTTATAAGTTTTATTCAAAATTTTTAGTCCAAAAAACAAAGAAAAACTAAAAACAACATCAATCATCAAAAACAACGAGCCTGCTGGGTCAGCCCCCACATTTTTTTTTCCATTTATGATAACATAGAAGCATAATCTATATGAAGTCCCGTTTCTCTAGCCAATAATAAAAAGAGTCCTAAGTTTGATAGAAATCAATATCTTCTTTTTCCTTCCTGAATGAGACTATTTAAAGGGCATGGGTTGATGAACAGGTTATTATCTGGCATTGGGAGTAAAGCCATGCGCTTCGGCGAGCTTTCATGGGCTCTTTCCATGAGCTGCTTGCAGTTTCTTGTGAGAGCAGAGGTTCCCTGCTTGAGTGCACCTTCTGAGGAAGCAAGCAGAACCTTGATAAAACGAGGGACATTTCTCCTAGAGGCTCTGCAGCCCTCTACTTATTTATTTTTATTTATTTTATTAGAACATTTCTATGCTTTGCCCCAAAGAGCAGAGGGAGATTTAAAGGTGTTCACAAAATATCTGAGAAACTCTGTGAAGCAAAAAAGCCTAACAAACTCTCTGGTGTTGGAAAGGAGAGGCTTCCAGATACCCCTAAGCGATTTCTTGCAGCCCAAGTTGCAAAACTACCCAAGCCGTTTTCTAGGAGCCGGGGGGCAAGAACAGAGCTCTGGGAGTGAAGCTCACCTGATAGTCTGGCTGAGCTCGGACTTTACAGCCCCTGGAACTGACCTTTCTGCTTCTCATATCACAGATTTCGCTTCCTCTGGTCTTTTCCAGGCAGAGTAACTTTGCCCGAGGGCTAGAACAGCAGCTGCCGGATGGCCTGGTGTTAGCAACTGCCCCGCTGGACAGTCAGTGCCAGGAAGTGCTCTCAGAGCCTAGTCCTGACCCAGATTTTCTCACAGGTGAGTGCTCTCAAGTGAAGGCTTCTCATCAACATCCAGTCTCATATCTAACCTCAAAGCGACGCCAAGTAGGAGGTGCTTGAGGCCCCATCGGTGTGGGTGTTCAAGGATAGGCTGGACATGCTCACGGTGGGCATGCCATGAGCGGAGCCGGCTGGAGCCGGGAGCCAGACTAGATGGCCCGGGAGGCCCCTTCTGACTCGCTCTGTTTCTGTGTTTCTATTATTCTAAGTAGACCTTACAGGGATGACTTCTACAACCACTCAAAATTTTATTACAAGCCAGTTTGAGGATAGTGTGGGTCAAAAAGCAGTCAAGAAATTTGGCACCCCATCATAAAGCATCAGAAATACATCTGAAAGTTTTGGCTCCATGGTCATTTTCTCCTGGGTGACTTTCTTTTGACTTAGGTAAATGGTTGAGCAACATGGATTGAGTGGGTGCAGATTGCATAAAACAGGTGGGTATCCTGAAGCTCTCCAGATGTTTCAGGCTACCATAATTTTTGACTATGGAACTCATTAACTCCTGCTGGTGGGAGTTGCGATCCAAAACTTCTAGAGGATACCCGATTGCCCACTTCTGGCACAACACTTCAACCAAATTTCTCGAGATACAATGCTTGAGAAGACAGGTTGTGGGATCCGTTCTGTCCGTACCTGGCTGGATCTCCTTAGTGGATGAGCAGTTTGGGGTTTTTTTTTTTTTTTTTTTTTTTTTGTCTTTTTAAAAGAAGGACATGAAAGCTTGATGCCATTCACCAAAATAAGCAGATTGGGCATCATCCTGAATGCACACGAGAGAGAAGAAGAAATGCTGGGCCAGAGGGCCTCTGGAGCTCCCATAATGACTGAGCCGAAGAGAAAGTTGCCTAACGGGCCAAAGAGAAGGCCGTGTAAGGGGGCTGCCATCTGCTGTCCTCTAACGGAGGAGCTTCATCAGCCTCACACCTGGGCAGCCCAAAAGCCGCATCGCCATGGGCCCCCCTGGCGACTTCACAGATAGACTGTCTTACTCCAGGCAGGTCAGCCGGTCGTCCGTGGACTGGCTCTAGCCCTCAGGCCCTGTGCTTGGCCCCGCTCTCCCCCATCGGTCCTGTCCAATGTTAATCACAGCAAGGGTTTATTTCCTGATGTGGCTGGTCAAGAGAAAGAGGCAGTGAGAGCTGTTTCTTGCCAGCCTTTCAGGCCACCATCGTTTGGCGGTCTCCTGCGTGTATTGGAAAGGAGAAGGCCCTTTCACAGTGGAGCAGCACCTTCCTGTGCTCCTTCCTCAGCCTTCACCCAGCTCGAAGGGCTGGAGTCTCATGGCCTCCCATCATCCATGAAAGGAAACTACCCCTTTTCCCCACCGATCGGCTGGGCTTGGCTTGCCCGCTTGGCCAGTGCCGCTCAGCTGGCTCCTTTCTCCCAGCAGCGGGAAAAGGCACACCTGGCCAGGTGAGGCTGCACCCCTCTCGGCGGGCTCCAGCCAATCCCAGCGCCCACTTCCCTACCTCTTCTGGGGAAAAGCCGCTGGAGCAGGTGCGGTGGGCTGGGCTGGGCTGTGCCGAGAGCCGAACCTCCCTGCCTGGCTCTGGCTCTCTTTTCGCTGCTCTCACTTGAGTGGTGTGGGGCAGCCTTGGTGGCAGCCACAACAGGGATGGCCGGGTGCAGTCTGGAGAGGCCCCCCGCCTTGAACCGGAGCGGTTTCACTGAAAGACCACCCAGGACCCCTGCAGCTCCTCACGACAGCATGTCCCCAGGTGGGGGTTCCTCCCGCCAACTACCAAATCACAGCCTGAATGCAGACACCTTTATAACCTGCCAGTCACACACAGCAACGCAGAGCGTCAGGTTTCCGGATCCTCTTAGGACAAGAGCAGCCTGACGTCTTTCGGCACGGCATGGTGTCCTAGGCCAGGGGTCCTCAAAGTTTTTCAATAGGGGCCAGTTGAAAGGCTGCGGCGACCGTCGCGGGCCGGTGAGGTGGGGGCGCCTGGGCGCACAAGGTGGCATTGGGTGTGTGCGGAGGTGGCTCACTCGCTTGCTCGGAGATCTCCCAGCGAGCCCAAAACCATCTCCGAGCGAGCGAGCCACCCCCTCCCCACCTGCACTGCGAGGAAGCGGTGAGCGCGCGCACACAGGAGGCAGGCGGCGGCAGGCAGCTCGCTCGCTCGCTTGCTCGGAGACCATCTCCGAGTGAGCAGGCCACCGCCTCCCTGCCTGCGCAGCAAGTGTGCGCGTGGGCAGCGAGCAGCAGTGCGGGCCGGATCCGTCCTGCGGGCCGTAGTTTGAGGACCCATGTTCCAAACCATCAGAAATACTGGTAACAAGAGCACGGAACTCAGGAGGCCTCTTTGCGGCTTGGATGCGGCATGCAAATGTGCCCAAAGGAGGGACCCTTCGGGAATCCAGCCGGGCCCCTCTGCGGTGCAGGCGCTTGCACAAGCCCTCCCTGTGCAACGGCGGCCTGGCGCTGCTCTGCCGCAGCGGGGTTGGGGCTGGAGCACATGTGCCGGCCTCGAAGGAGGCTTCTACCGCAGGGCTGGCAGCTGCCCGCTTTTAGCGCCGGCCGGGGGCACCGCATCGCCAGTCCCACCCGGCCCCTTCCCCCCCCCCCCCCCGCAGCTGGCTCCGCGGCTCCTGGGGTGCCTCCGCTCCACGCCCCCCGGCACAGGCCGAGGCCGCGGTTTCCCCCCGGGGGCACAGGCGGAAAGGCCCATTAGCCGTGCCCCGCCAGCAGTTCATTAAAAATGTAATTAGTAGCAAAATGAACACCATGGGGCTGTGCCCCTGGGACGGGCGAAAGAAAAAGTCTGGGGAAGCTTGTTATCTCGGAAACGGAGAGCGGGCTAGAGAGAAGAAACATGCATAAGCAAACTCCTTTTAAGTTGTATTCTTAATTACCGAAGAGTTGCTGACCCGCAGACCTTCCTTTGGTGCAATTAGTGCTTCCCTTCTCCCCCAGGCAGCCCCCCCCCCAGCCCTGCCGTTGCTCGTCACTTTCGCTGCTGCATTTCTTGACGTCTAAGCTAGCAAGTAATGAGGGTCCTTCTTGAATCCAGCACGTTGAGCTGTTTGGCTGCCCGAGGCAGCTGGGGGGTGGTTGCCCAGGAATTGGGATGTGGGGACTCGGCCGTGATGTTGCAGGGACTTGCTTTGGTCGGCTCAGAAAGGAGGGCTCTGAAGCCCAGGAGGTAAGCGTAACCTCAGAGGAACTGTGGCGGATCCTCCAAAAAGGACCAGGGTGGGAATGGTTAATACGTCTACCAGAAGAATCTGGGCAGAACTGCTTCCACACGAGCCCCCATCCACCCAGTTCTGCTGGTACCCACAATACGGCACAGAATCCATAGATGAGGGCTAACTTCTTGTAGGAATTGCATTAAGAAACCCTTGAACGGTACGATAGGGCCTGGAAAGTCTCAGTTCACAAGTTCCTCTTGCAGCTAGGTGCTAACACATGGATCCCGATCCAGCCGCTTCACAGAGGAAGCATCCCCGGTTTCCACGGGAATCAGGAGAAAGTAGGTTGACCCCAAAACCAGCTTTCAAATGGGGGAAGCCGTTTGCGCATTTAGCAGAATGACGGCTGAGGGACGGTTCTGGGAGCAGGCGAGGAGCGAGATGTCTGTCCCCCAGGGTAACGCTTCTCCTCGGCAGCCTTCGCCTCCACTTGGCAAACCGACATCTTCTTGGCCTGCGCGTTGGCTGAGGGCTGGGGGATTGCCTGTGTGCAGCTCCTTGGACAGCGTGATGTCCAGGAAAAGCCTCTGTCTCTCTTGCTCGATTGCGTCACAGGGACAAATACGGAGCACCAAGGCGGTAGGAGCGCGTGCTCTGCTGCTCTGCTTTGCCCTGCCCGCCAAGGGGTGCCTCACGCCTGCCTGCGTTTTTCTCACAGGGATGGTGAACTTCAGCGAAGTCTCCGGGTATCCGCTGCTGCAGCACTGGAAGGTGCGCTCCGTCATGTACCACGCGCGACTCAGCCAGCTGACCCCCTCACAGGGTAAGTGGTGGCCATTCCTGGTGGAGCGAAGGGTTTGATTGCCGCGTTCTCTGAGATTCAGGAGCTGCATTTGGAGCTGAAGTCTGCATCACCTGGCAGCTCGCCCACTCAGCTTTTCCTTACTTTGGGATTCAACCTCAGCCCCTGCCCTCTGAGAGAGAGGAAAGAGAGGGGAGAGAGTGGCTGAGCCATGCGAGTTGGCAGCCTTCTGCAAAATACTTCCCTTGGTCCTCGAGTTTTATCAACCTTTCAGACCAAGGAGAGGAAGGAGCCATGTCAGCCCCACAAATGTTCATTTTTCCCTTCCGTTCCGCTCCATTATGGCCAGTCTTCATGTCGGTGGGTTTTGTTTGTTAAACTTGGAACTTTGCATTTTTGCATCTATTTCTGCAGAATAGGGGGCACCATCCTTATTTATGCATTTTGTGAGCTCCTTACTTATTTTAGGCTAGACGTGATCTTAGCCAAAGGGCCAAGAAGCCATATCTGACCCAAGAACCATATTGCAAAACTTGGAGAAGTGCAAAAAATGAAAGTCAACTCAGTTTGTCTGAAAATCTGTACTGAGCACCCGCCTCTTACATTTCTGCTCTGGAGCTATGTTGGTTTTGCTGCCGGGTATACTGCAGGTTTATGGGTCCTAAGCTGGTGGGCATGTCGTGAGCGGAGCCGGCTGGTGCTGGAGGTCAGACTAGATGGCCCGGGAGGCCCCTTCTGACTCGCTCTGTTTCTGTGTTTCTAAGCTCCCTCAGTCCTTGAACTAGAGCAGCCAAGAGGGGCTCCTTTTCCAGGAACAACCTGATCAAGGGCCCAAAATAAGTAGCTGAAGATCCAGCAATGCACTGACAGTTGAATGCATCCCGTCTTCTTCTTATCGTGGAATAATTAAGCATACTTGTAAGATGAGAGATTCAAAGCTGGGCACCAGAGTGGCCCAGATGCTGATATTCAAGCTGTCCCTGCAGCTGAACACCGAAAAATTCCATTCAATCACTGAACGTAGCTGGTGGGAAAGGAAAAATCAGATATGACATTTTTCAGCCAGCAGGAGTTTTTGCTTTGTTTCTTCTTCTTGTAGAAAAGCTTCTGAGCAGGAGTAGCATACATGAGAAGTGAGAATTTTTAAAGCAATACCTTTAACACACCATACGTGTGCTTGTCATTCCTGGTGGGGAGTGAATGGAATTAGCAGGTTACTCCGAGCAAGGAATTTACTAGTTATAATAATGGCCCCATCAAGAGCTGACTTTTTAGCCTCGACTGAGATTTGTTAGAAATCATCAAGCAAATTTCCTCTTGCTTAAGAAAATGCATTCGGTAGACAGGAAGGTGGATACTATTCTGAGCAGAGAGCCTGGATTGAGATCGCCTCGTGAAATAGGTTCAGGAGAAACAAGAACTCACTTCTTTGTGTAATGTGTAGTTCAGCCATGGAATTCACTGCCAGAATACGTGGTGGTGGACTCAAGGTGGAGCCACCTGTTAAGGAAGACTCAGACACATCTTTCAGGTGCATTCCTGTAGACATCAGAACCGCCATGTCCACCAGCTTTCAGGCCCTAGGGCTACCGCCTTCGTGCCCTGCTTCTGGAGGCGTCCCGAGAGGCTGTGCTGGAAATGGAATGCTGGGTGGGCCTTCATGCTTTCAAGAAGGGGATTCTTCTGCCTGCCTGGCCACTCTGTGCTCCGTCGCTCATGCAGTACCTCTGTCTTCTGCAGCTTTTGGAAACGCCCTCCATTCTCTGGATGGAGCCACATCGCGAGGAGACTTTGTGGCTCTGCTGAGCCACTTTGGCAACCACTACATCCAGGAAGCGGTCTACGGCTTCGAGGAATCCTGCTCCATCTGGTACCCGAGTAGGCAGGTCCAGAGGCAGCTCTGGCTGGAGTACGAGGATATCAGCAAAGGTAGGGCCGCTGAATGGCTTATTCTCGCCGGGCATCAGGGGGCGTTTCCGTATTTGCACCCGGTGTATTTCAGGGGCAAAAGCTCCCTCATCGGGTGCAGCCATATTGGATGCAGACGCCGAAAACGAGAGAGCCACGACCTGTGTTGGCTGTTCTGGCCTGTTTTCAGCATTTGTGTTTTGTAAGGCTGTCCCTGGCCACACCTCTGAAACGTGCAGGGTTCCTGGAAAGACGCTTTCCTCGGGCACTTCTGGGCGTACGCTCCCCTTTCGCACCGCGTCCAGCCTAAATGCCTCTCGGTTAATTTCTGTTTCCCCGTGGAGGAACTGTGCCGGCATCCCCTTAATTGCAGCACTGCCTGCCCTGCTCTGCTCTTTCACGGGTTCTTCCCCTCACCTCCCTCTCTACCTGGGCGTTCCATGTGGCTCCCGCCAGGTGGGGTTCAAAGGACCCCGGCTGTGTCCACTCACTCTCTCAGAGGACCTGCTCTTCTAGTGGAGTCCTGCTCAAAAGGGAGCCCCGTTAGATCTCAATCTCCAGGAAGTGCGTTTGGGATGGCAGCTGTAGTGGGATTCCCCAAACGAGCCGTTGGCAAGGGGGCCAGAAAAGGGCTGCTGCAGCGTTGCAGCTTCAGAAGGTGGGCTCCAACCCACCACTCTCGAGTCGAAGTCACAGGTTGCCTCCGGCCGGCCGCCGTGGCCCAGTCCCAGCACCCCCAACCGCCCAAGATGAGGATACTCACTAGCAATTTTACAAAGCTGTTAGGATTATGATGATGTGTGTGAAGCTTGATGTAAATGCCGAACCTGATTACTGCTGTGAACTTGGGATGGGAGGATTTGAGCATCAGGACAGACAGGCAGATGGATGGGGGTTTGTGTTTGTGATTTCGAGGCAGCTTTTGTACATCTGCATCAGCTTTTTCACAGGAACACTATTATAATAGGAAGACTAGAAATTACTTCTTCAAACGAAGGCTTTTTGGGACTGAGAAGTAATAGGAGTGTTTTGCCTCGTGTCGCTGCAACCCTTGGTGTCTTTGCCAGTTGTGTTGCTCCTGCCCCCTTCCTGATGGCCACACCACAGAGCGCTAGAGACTGGCACTTTAAAAGGAGTCCTGATTCCAGGAAGAAAAGCGAGCACTCTTGGGCTTTCCGTGACTTTGGGAAGGTTACCCCGGGCCTGTCAGCCTCTTGGATCGTTCGCCATTGAGATGTAAGCTGTTGAAAAGTGAACCAAAAGAGAGAGAGAGAATGTTGGCCTGGAGCTGAGATAATTCCAGGGCAATCAGGTTTCCTACGGAGTCACTGAATTAGACCTTTTTCCTATAGAAGCTGGCTGGGCTGGGCTACAAATCAGGGCGTTTTTGAGAACGCAGTGTGTGGGCGAGCAGCCACAAGCCATGGGGCCGTTCTCCTCCATGGGCCCGTTGGCCTCCCATTCTCTTCCGCACTCATTCAATAGGACTTGCAGAGGAGGAGAGCAGAGGCACATGACCTTCCACAGCGGCGAATCGCTATCGCTGTTGCTTCCGCATGCGTCCCCCATTCCGACGGTTAAACTCCTGTTAAGCCTCCGGAAACCTCTGGGCTTATTCTTGTTCTAATCCCATTTCTGACGCCTCGGTAAATCAAACCGATCGCTCCCTTGCCTGCAGAGGAAGACTGCGATCCCGCCTTGCCCTGAAGTGGGTAGGTTCATTTCTCCCCTGCGTGCCACTGATTTCGTGGGCCTGGGTGTCAGGGGCATCTCCGTGCAAGGACAAATCCAAGCCAGACGTTGGCGTGCGGCAGCAGGCGAACTGCGGGGAGAGCCCGAGCCCAAGTATGAGACCTGAATATTGCCAGCACGGCAGTAGCATTGCCAAAAGGGCTTAGGAGTTATGGCAGCTGGCGAATGGGACAGGAGCTGACAGGAGGATTCTTTGGTCAAGAGCCACCATGCATTTAAGAGCTGAAGCATTCCTCAGCTCAGGAAGGGCGGCTGCTGGACTCCCCCACCTTGCCGAGTCCGTGAGTGCGGCACTGAACGTCCACAGAGGAACTGGAGTGGGTGGTCAGGCCCCTGCCCAGGGCCAGGTAAGCTTCCCCCACAGGTGGGAAAAGGATCCGTAGAGTTGGGCGAGGTGTAATTTAATCTGCAGGGAAGATCACTGTTTCTCCTCCACTCCTGGGAGCGGGGAAGCCACCACCTGGACAGGGCCGCTGGGGGCAGTGAGAGAGACTTCATGCCTCCCTCCACCAGCAATTCTGGGAGAGGGAGAGGGAGAGCATACGGCACGATGCGCCTGTCTCCGCGTTGCCTGGCTCAGGGGACAAGTGCTGAGCCTCAGAATTGGGGGGCTCTGTGGAAATAGGGGTGAAGATGAAGCCGCTTGGCTGCTCAAGTGGGAGAGCTTTTTCAGAAGCAGGAAACATGGAGCAGGCAGTTCTCTGCTTCAGCAAACAGACGGAGACAGAAAGGATTCTGCATGAGCTGCTGTTGTGCTCCGAACTAACCACGTGCTTCAGATGCCGGGGCAGCAGGACGCCTGCCGGGGCAGCACCCGACTTGGCCAGCGCGGCCCCATTGGGAGCATGAGCCTGGCACCCAGCAGGAGCGTCTTTCCTCCAAGCACTCGACAGGACCGGAGGGAGTGACATCGGAAGAGGGAGCGGGACCCCATCCCCTGATGCCATCTGCCCCTGGACTGAAAAAATCACCCCCGCCCCAAATTGCAGAGGACCATAATTCTGGAAGCAGGGCCCCCCGACATGGTGCTGCCCCGAACGGTGGTGCTGTCGGGATCCGAGGCGCAAAGAGCTGTGGGCGTGCTTCGTGCCACGCTCAGCCTCGCTTCTGCATTATCTTTGGTGACGCCCTGAAGCCTATTCAGGGCCCCCCATCCTTTTCGCCGGGGGACACGCACATGCGCCCCCCTCCCTGCTGGCGTGCATTGGTGCTTTCTAAAGCGCCGCGTTTTCCCCTCCACGTGTCCAGGCAACCACATCCATAACCTCTCTCTTTCCTCAGAACTCACATCTTTTTTCTTCTCACTCAGCTTCTCATTTCAGCTTCTCTTCAGGCCTGCCACCTGCTACATCCCCCGCTTCGCTTTCTTTCTTTATCTTTTCCCCCTCGGTGCACGTCAAGAGCTTTCTATCGATTGAAAAATTGCAAGAGGCAAACCATTCTCTGCCACCGCTGCTTTCGCCCGTCAGTCTGCTAAGCTGCAATTCAAAGCCATCCTAAAGTGGTCCATTTCCAGCCTGATGGGGAGCCCAGGCCGTGTCCTGTATTCTCCCAGCAGCTCTGCCTGCCCCCATCCCAGTTTAACAGGGCTGTTTTCTTGGTGGGGGCTTCTCCGGCGAGGGACGGGTGTCAGGCATCAGCCTCTTCTCTGCAAAACATTTAGGTACAGACAGCAAAAGCTGGGAGAGAAATGCTCCTATTAACTCAGGCACAATGATTCACCCCGCAGGCTTGGTTACACAAACGCTTTCGCTCCGAGGAGGGGCTCAGATTGACCGAGTAAAGTGGCGCCATCTGTGCGGTTAGACGCCTCGAGTTTCTTTCATCCCCACTTATTGGCTCTCGGTGGGCAGCTGCTTCTTCGAGTGGCTTCCATGAGTGGCTGCTCTGCAACTTGTGGGAGGAGGTGCCGGGGTCCCAGGGCCAGGGACGGGGACGGGGAAGGGGAAAGGGAGTGGCCTGCTGGATTTGGACCCTGGATGGAGGCCACTGGCATCAGAGGTTGGTTCCGTGTCGGCATGGTCCCCATGTCCGTAACAGCACAGCTGCACCAGAATTATAGAATACAGACCAGCAGAGTCGGAAGGGGCCACGAAGGCCATCGAGTCCACCCCTCTGCTGTTGCAGGACACCACGTCACACCTTCCCACTCAGATGCACCTTGAATGTCTCCAGTGTGGGGAAGCCCCCCACCTCTCCGGGCAGCTGGTCCCACTGCCGTATTGCTCTGGCAGTGAGGAAGCTTTTCCTGATGCCCGGCCTGAATCTGGGTTGCTGCAGCTTGACTTGATTCTTCCGTGTCCTGGTGCAAGGGTCTTTCCCCAAAACTCAGGAGCTTTTCCCCTCTGCATCTTATGCACTAAAGCAGCCATGGGCAACCTTTCAGCTCTGGGGACCGAGCTGTCCCTGAGCATTCCAGCCCCTGACCATGGGGGCTCCCTCCCTTCCCCAGTTGCTTGGGCTTGGGACAATGCTGACCTTTGCAGGTGACGGGTACTCCTCCCATTTCTGAGGTGGCCTTCCATTTTCCAATATTGGAGCAGATAGGGATTCCAGAGGAGCTGCGACTCCATCAAGAGCTGCACTTTGGTTGGTCAGCAGTAGGAATGTACTAAAATGTTGCTTTTGCTTGGAAAATGTGGAAGCCGTGGAAGCGTGAACATGGGAATGTGTGATAAATCCATTTGTGGGTGGGAATCCATCCAATTCTCTGGGTTCAGCTCCCTGGACTTGGATCCACCTTGCCAAAGCCCAAAGCCAAAGCCCAAAGTCCAAGTTCCTGGTGGGTGAACCGAGTTTTCATGGGCTGTTCATGGACCTTCTTTTGGCTGCACTCAGTTCCTAAGCGAGGATCAAGCAGGAGATGAAGTCCAGCAGCAGGAGAAGGATGGATTCCCGGAAGGCCCACCCCACAACCAGTCCCAAAGCAGCAGGAGCCACGTGGGACTGGAGCGCCCTCCTGTGGGCAGCCACCCATCGGTCTTTGGAGCAACTTCTCGTTGTCCCAAAGGGACGGCTGCATACGAAGGTGTCCTTCAGCCGTCTCCAAGCCCCTTTGCCCTCTGGCTGTGCCAGACCAGGTCATTCCAGAGGCACGTGTCCGGCTTGAAATGATGCTGTGCAGCACACGCCCCGACTGTTGCAGGAAGCAAATGATGGCCTGCGCTTGGAATGACCAGCATGCAAGCCAGAAGCAGTGCCTGGGCTCCCTGTTGGCCATTGCTCTCTTGCATGTGGGGACAGCTTCCCCCACCCTGTTGCCCTCTGGA